TTAATCTTTTAAATATATTCATAATAATAATAATAACAACAACAATGATAATAATAATTCATGTTTAATAATAATTATATATCATTTATATTTTACATTTTAATATTTTAAATCAAATAATAATAACAATAATTATAAGGATAATTAATATTTAATTTATTATTATTAATAATAATAATACATATTTCATGTTAATTTTAATATTACATGTTTTAAATGTAATAATAATAATAATAAATGAGCTCAGTACAAAAACAAGTGTTATTTTAGTATAACTGAACTAATATTATAGTTTTTGTTAATATTTAGAATGGGATTAAATTTTTTTATTTTGTTTTTATCTTAATTTTAGTTAATGTTTTAGTCATTTTATTGTGTTTTTTTTTTTCAAATGTCTCTGGTTTTTACCATTTATTATTTTTAGATATAGCTCTTGTTTATTTAGTTTGAGTTATTTTAGTACTTCAAGTTAAACTAAACTAAATGAGAAATGTTACCTTAGCAACTCACTGAAAAAGTTGCTATTTTTCTTTTTTTATCTTATTTCTGTTTATTTTGTTACAAGTAACAAAAATGTTTTTGTATGGTTTTAGTTTTAGTTAACAATAATAACCCTGGTTTGTTTTTTAATGCCATGCCAGCAGGTTGTTTTCATGGTGAAAATACAAACGTATTGTCCGCACACTGATATAACTGCTCCGTAAGAATAATTTATTGCTCCATAAGAATAATTAATTGTTTTTTTTACAAAGGGAATGTTTTTGGATTTATACTTTAAATACATTGTCACCTTTTGGGTTGAATGAGGAATTTGATATTAAGCATTTTCTATAGGATTGTGTGCATTTCTTCATCTGTTTTCAGTATCGTTTGAATATTTTGAGTGATTATTGATCTGTATTGATTTGTATTTTTATTCGAGTTTATTGCCATTTTTTTCCCTCTCTCTCCCTCTCGCGCTCTTTCTCGCTCTCTCTCTCTCTCTGTTTTTTCTTATCTTTTTTGTGGGAGTACCTGCATAGTGATTGAGCGTGTCTAATTAGGATGACCACCTGCTACTTATAAATAGTTGTACCTCAGTTCACGTAATTTGTGCCTGACGAAGACCTGATGGTCGAAACGTTGCAATAAATTATTCTTATGAAGCAGTTATATCAGTGTGCGGACAATACGTTTGTATTTTTGCTATAGTTTGACTTTTTTTGTCCTGCACCTGAGCCCTGTGTGGGTTTGTGGGATGTGCGCAACTTTTTTTACACTTTGGTTTTCATGGTGAAAACCATACTTGAGTTATCAAAATGTAAGACCCATTTTTCCAAAAAATTCTACAATTAAATTTGGATTAACTTCCTTGAAAACATTTTCAAGAGAAATGTTAATTAAAACAAAACTTTTTGGCATTGACTGAAAATGCATTCTAATGTACAATTTTAACCAAAATTTCAGAGTGCTGTGTATTTCAATGCTAATTAACCAAATTTGTAGATTAGATTAGAATGGTGACCTCAAACTCTACTGTAAGCAATCATCTCCTGTGCACTTCACATAAAGAACGCTATTTGTGTAGCACATGGATTAGCACTGCAGTTAGGATGCTGCCTATGTAGGCAGTAAACATGAAGGCAGCTCACTTGGTTTTGGAGTTTAGACTTTAAAATGCTCCCCAAAAAAAGACTATATCTTTTATGAGTGACATTAGCCAAATCCAATGTAAAGTTTCCAAATTTAAACTGGCTGGGTGAGAAAAATCTTAAAAATGACTGCTGTTACTGATATTTTTTTACGCAGACGGGTTGTATGTTGCTCACATCACTTAGATAATTGTTCTTACAATTTAAGCAACACCATATAATGTTGCACTTCTTAAAGGAATAGTTCACATAAAAATGAAAATTTACACACCTTCAGGCCATCCAAGACAAGATGTAGATGAGTTTGTTTTTTTCATCAGATTTGGAGAAATGTAGCATTGCATCACTTGCTCAGCAATGGATGCTCTGCAGTGAATGGGTGCCGTCAGAATGAGAGTCCAAACAGCTGATAAAAACATCACAATAATCCACAAGTAATCCACACCACTCCAGTCCATCAGTTAACATCTTGAGAAGACAAAAGCTGTGTGTTTGTAAGAAACAAATCCATCAAGACGTTTTAACTTCAAACCGGCTAAAATATGAGTCCATAATTTATAATGAAGCTTCCTCCAGTGAAAAAGTTGTCTCGTCTGAATCAAGAGAGAAATATGCACAGATCAAGCACCGTTTACAGGCAAAAACAGTTCTAAACAATTATGTTGGTGGATTTGGTGTGACTTTGATGTGAGAGGATAACAGGGGATGAACTTTTTCACTGGAGGAAGCATTATTATGGATTATGGACTGCAATGGTTTAAAGTTAAAAACATCTTAAAGTCCGTGGAAAGCAATATTAAATATTATATATTAGAATATTAAATATTCTGAGTTTGTCACACCAGAGAAAAATGTATTAACCACCCAGCCAAATTTGAATGATAAAAAAAACTGCCAAGTAAATAAAATAAGGTATCAAAATCTTGAAAAAATAAGCTCTCAAACGCTGGGAGTGTGTCCACTTGCGGGAAAGCTGCCGTCTCTCTCAACCGTCAAATACCGCTACAACCTGAATAGATGCTCCCTCTAACAGCTTAATTTAAATAAGGAGACCGAGCTGTTTTGTAAATGATCAACCAGGTAATGTGCAATTACGTGACGAAGGCATAGCTAGCTAGTAAACTGTAGGCTGTAGTAACTAACGGTAATGACAGTAACTCCCAACTGAGCGGGCGAACCACTCTAATGCACTCTAGTTATTAGGTGTGTTCGGATTGAAGCAGCGCTGCGCAGAACGATCAGCGTATGATATCAAAGTACCGCTTCAAGTCGAACACACCTCTTATAGCGTTAGGAGAGAGGGGTCATGCTCAGTGGCTCCAGTGCGTCATCGAGACATGATTTCAGCACCGCCCAAAAAATCCTGAACACAAAAATGGTGAAAAACTGTTTAACAGCCTAACTCCACAATTCAGTACTACATAGTTCACAGTCTTTGTATCATGTTTTCAGCAATACATTTATAACGTGTTTAGAAATAATTGCCTTTACACAGACTTTAATGGATTTGTTTCTTACAAACACGCAGCTTTTGGCTTCACAAGATGTTAACTGATGGACTGGAGTGGTGTGGATTACTTGTGGATTATTGTGATGTTTTTATCAGCTGTTTGGACTCTCATTCTGACGGCACCCATTCACTGCAGAGGATCCATTGGTGAGCAAGTGATGCAATGCTACATTTCTCCAAATCTGTTCTGATGAAGAAACAAACTCATCTACATGTAGTATGGCCTGAGGGTGAGAATATTTGCAGCATTTTTTGGGGGTGAACTATTCCTTTAATAAAGTTACCAAGCAACTTTCAAGGCATTCCTGGCTGTCATCTTACCTGTTGGGGTCCTCGTACATTTTCGTGCGACTCAGAAGACGAAGATGTGTGAGTGGATGTAGAGGGTGCGGAGTATGACAGATAAGACTCCTCCCTCAACGTGTGCATGTGGTCTCCCAGGTCCGGCTTGTGCAGGGGCAGGTCCACCCGTTGATCCGGCGTACTGTTGAGAAAGTCGTACTCATCGTCTGTGCTCGGGGGAAACCTCACACTCAGGCCTCTTAGGGAATCAAAAAACGGTCCGTCTGGACCGGCGCCACGTGACGCGAGGGATGTGGAGGTCGAAGTATTGTCGACCTCTGACCTCAGCGGTGAGGAAAAAGGAACCTCGGCCTGTTCTGCTGTGTCTTCGGTGCACTGGATGGGCATGGAAAACTGCTCTGGAAACAGATAGGAAACCAACAAAACGTTTATACAGTACATTGCCATGCCAATCCCGCCGAGAGTTGTCATGACAGAAATGCATTTATCCAACACCAGTGCTCGTATCATGAAAAATATATTTTCACTGATCTTTTGAACTAAAAGTGCAATGCAACACTACTGTTTACCACACTTACACATCGCAATGCCTATTGTGATAAATGGTCCTGCTAAATGCACACTGTAAAATCTTATTTTTCAAAGTTGTAAATAAAACTATAAAACAAATAAAACGTTAAAAACATGTTACGAGAAAATACTACTTCAGTCTATATGCTTCAAAATGTTACGCTTAATTCAAAGCATTACTTGCGGATTCTTTATCATTATTTGTGAAAAATACTAGCAATTTCTAATTGAAAATTGTTTCTATGCCTTTTTTTAACTTAAATGTAAATGCATATTAAAAGAAAGAACTAATCACTGTAGTTTTTGCCAAAGTTTTCCAGGAAAGTGGCATCAAATCTTTGAAAGAGTCTGTGAAATAATCAGTACATGTAGTATCATGTATTTACTGCATCAATAACTTTTTTCTGGTGCAATAAAACTTTAAAATTTAAATAAAGAATGACTGCTTTAAGCTCACTTAAACAATAAACACTTGTTGACCATCACAAGCTGTAACGGTAAGTCAAAGTTACTTTGCATAGAAGTGTTTGCTAAATGAACAAAATAATGCAAATGCATCTATTAATCAAACAGATGGAAATGGGCCTCATGGAAATGGTGGAGAAAAATCTCAAATTTTCCTTGCATTCAGAACCCGAAGACAAACCAGTTGTGGTTTAGTATTAAGACATCAAGCATTTTCTCTTGTCAGTCTCTCTCTTGCCCATATATATATATGAGCACATTAGTATGCAAATGCAAAGAAAGCACAGCAGTGATATGCACACCATGCAACGCTGACTATTAATGAGGAACTCTGTCAATTTCAGCACCAAACAATGCAGTGAGAATTGCTCTACCATAACAACTGCGTCAGCCGCTACCACTGCTCAAAATCAACTTCAGAAATCAACTTCAGAGCTCGAAATTCACCTCCGAAGCGTCCTGATCAAAGTCTGTGATCACACTGAGAAGGCACGTGGAGCTAGTAATGTAACATTATGAAATCATAATCATCAGAGCGTGGCTCAGATTCAATTACCAACATTCATAATTCAACCTCCTTGTAAACGATGGAGACGTTTTTTTCTAAAAAGAGCAGCAAGATCTCTGTGAGGAGAGAGATTATAATAAATATTTGTTTTCAGGATTTATTATTATCATTATTACTATTATTTCAGAATTTTGATTTTCTTTCTTCAGTGAAACAAAAAGATGTTTGGTGGAATGTCTGAGCTGCTCTTTTCGACATAACAAAAGTAAATGGTGATATATAATTTAAAGCCCCAAAGTGACAAAAAAACACCATAAAATTATGACATTTAATTTAAGCTCTTTCGCTGTTAATTGTCCTTCTCTGCTGCAGCATAGTTTTGACATCACTGACTGCAAACAGCATTCATTCTTGCATGCCGCAAGACCATCTGCAATGCATCAATATTAAATATGAACAACCCCAAATTTGAGGACTACAAAACAGGAAAAGATCATATGGTTTTAGAAGACAGAAAATACAGCAAATAATTCATACTGACTACTCTTACAGAGCTTGAATTTATATATCACCATCCACTATCATTGTATGGAAAACACCGGCTTAGACATTCTGCATAACATCTCCTTTTGCATAAAAGTATATACTTTTTAATCTGGCTAGAGGGATCTAGTCATGTAATTTGTTGTTTTACCTCTTCTCAAAAGTTTGCTCAAATGATTGGTGATGATTATTTCCATAATAACTAAATTAACCTGACAGCATATCCACAGTGATGCCAATAAATCTGTTATTTTTACTGTTCTTGTTTTGTGATGTAACCAAAAGGACTTTTCATTTGTAAAACCAGAATTATAAAACACAGTGTTGCAGATGGTTGCCAAGTGTAGCTTTTTTGGTCCTTAAAGTGTTTTTATTGCATGACAGGGTTTTATTAAAACACTGTTAAAACCCTTTGAAGACCAAGTAAAGAACAACTTCCAACAGATTTCCATTACTTTTTAATTAGTGCTGTCAAAATTAGTGTGTTAATGCAGGCAATTAATCTTTTCATTTTAACGCGTTAAAGATATTTAACGCAATAGCGGGAGAAATACAAAGCTGATATGTATGGCAAGCCCTTTTGACTTTTATTCATTCTCAGGATATGAATTCTTGATATCACCAATTAAATTTTTACTAGTTAAAATGTTAATTCTTGATATCAGGAATTAGATTTTTACTAGTAACAATTGCTATTTTTGAAATCAGCAATTACATTTCCACTAGTAACAATGTTAATTCTTGATATCAACAATTCAATTTTCACTCGTTAAAATGCTAATTCTTGATATCAGAAATTACATTTCAACTAGTAAAAACTATAATTCTTGATATCTGTAATTGTATTTTCACTAGTTAAATGTCACCATAGGCTGCCATTCAAAATCAATTGTTGATATCAAGAATTAATTTCTTACTAGTT